TACTGCCGACCTGGCAAACACTCATTTTATTTCACCAAATTGCATAAGCACATTCGCTTGTGAATGAGGTAAATCAATCAAAACTCAATCGAAATTTGCATTTTAAAGCGGCTACAACTGCCTGTTTATTTACGTAGACCTACATGTATTTATTTATTAATCGATTTGAATCGAGCCTGGCAGGCATACAATTTTTTTGCTCGGCTTGTCAGCCACCAACTTGCTGAAAAAAATTAAAAACAAAGACAAATAAAAGTATTAACAAATATAGATGTAAATACCATTTACTTTTCTTTATTTACCCTGGACAAATAGCCGCAATCTTATTGAGTGTGGCTTATTTGGGTATTGAATAATAAAGCCGCACATATTTATGTTCATATTCACTATTGATAGTCGGTCGGTTATCCAAATTTTCATGTCGTTACCTATAAAATTGTTAAAGATATATTATGATATATCTTTATTATGATATATCTATATTATGATATATTTCTATCTTTATATAATAATAAAGTTGAAAAAATTCTTATTATGCATTTCGAGACCTATTATAATTCCCACTTTTCCTTGGCTTTTGTTGGCCAACGACCTTGCCGCAAGCCCAGTGAAGAGCAAACACTCCCATCAAAGGAAAACCACTTGAGTGCCATCACAAAACACAAAATCCACAAGTGGCCACTGCCAGCAGAAATCGCTGGGCCACCGGAGACATTGCAAATCCGCTTCAAGTTTCTTTATTTAAATGACTTCGTTTTTTTAATTCTCCCACAGGAATACTCCAACAACGCACAACCTCACCCGCCAAAATCCGGCCACAACAACCACCTGACAACAGCAACTGTAGAATTGCAATAGGCATTTTGAACAGACCAGACACAAAATCCACCCTGTCCGTCACCGAAACCATAACTCCCCAGAAAGTCCCCTCAAGGAAGCTAAGGAAGTCGTATATAAAAAATAACTCAGGTATATAATGCATTTACATAAGGAAAACGGGTCACTAGTGTTTTCAGTTTTTATTCAAAATTACTTAATTTATTGTTTAATTGAAAACAAACAGTTTTTCTTCATAGATTAATATTTAGTGCTTTGGGTTACAGTTTTAAAACCAACGCTAAAACTGATCTTGATTTTGAAACTTCAGTTAAATGTTTACATTTAAAAAAGGCAACACGAAAATGAATAAAATGGTTTTAAATTTTATTTTTTCAAATTACCTAATTCTATCATCCCAAGTAGAGTTTCTTAAATAAACAGTAGATATACCAATTTAGTCAATAATTACAACAATTAATAATAATTAATTAATAATAACTCAAACTCGATGCCATTAAAATATAAATTTTAAACTTGAAACTCAAATAAGAGTATTTATAATTTTCCAATTATGTGTTTAATTTGAAAACTTTATGTATTATTTTAAATTTAAAAAAAACACAAAAGTTTTTACCGCGTTCACAAAAGTATATGTATGGTTAGTTCTCTGAACTCTCGACTACCTTAGGGATAAAAGTGTATTATCCACTTAGGCACGTTCAAGCTCACACTTTATAGTCCCATAGTTTAGTGTTCCAAGCTGACTGTATAAATACTTGATATTTAGAATCGATCTGAGCTAATTAGCTAAAAGGGGCCTCATTTACACGCCCCAGCTTTGCAACTAGATGGAACGACTTTGCTATCGTTTTGCAATTAAAATTGCAATTATCAGTAGTTGAGAAAAAAAGAATCATTTGCCGCAGCTTCGGGCGTCTGTGCAAATTTGTAAAACAATTAAGTGGTCATAACAAAAACAACGCTTGAAGGGCTTTCAATTCCTGGTTTATTATATAGGAAAACCAGTTTATGGCCTTGCATAAACTGAGGTCTCTTCAATCTGCGTGAGCCGTTGGCTTCAGTGTCAAGCTCAAGTCCAGTGCCCAAGCTCAGGCAAAAGCTTCGTTTTAATTAATAAAAATCTGAAAAATGAGCACAATTTAAATAAAGTTGCGTGTCGATGCTTAGAAGTGGCTAGAAATGGCAACAAGCCGCTAAATTTTTGACCGTCGGCGGTTGAAAAATTTTGTGCAATTAACTCAACAACAACAATTAAAACAAAAGCAACGACAAACAACAATCAAAATAAATATCTGAGGGAACATAAATAATGAATTAAACAATCGCATTCGTCGCATCGCATCGCACGTGCAGTTTAATTTAATTTTACCGAGCAATTCTATATACCCTATAGATAAATTCATAAAATAATAATATTTGTAAACACAACTTTAGTATTTTCTACTTCTTTAAAATTTCAACAAATATTATATTATTTATTAAAAAGCTTACAACATATTAAATACAATAAATTTAAACAGCTTTTTACACGGCATTTAAACATCGGCTTAATAAAAAGTTAATTTTATCCTCTTGCTTAATTATATTATTCTAATATATATTAAAACAAATTAAGACAACACACGGGCAACTAATGCATTTGAATTATTTTGTGTTTTAAAACCAATTAAGGTAAATGAGGTTCTAATCAATTCAAAATAAAAGAAGTGCGCCCCCTTAAAGTTAAACTTAAAAACCCAAAAACATTAGCATAATTTCCAATAAGTAACTGAAGCCTTTGTTTGAATCGGATTCTCCCACGTTCATAAACCGTGCATGCCAATTGATAATTAATATTTATTAAAATGTATTTTACACACTTTTCACTGTGCATTCATTTGAAATGCAAAGATATCTGAATTCTCTCCGTGGCGATTACTTCGTATACTAACTAAGCACATCTTTTCTGCTTGTGCAAAAATGAATTCGTTTAATAAGCCTCAGGCGACACGCTAAAGTTTTTAGTTTGAGTTCAGAGCGCCGACTTGTCGGTAGAATCCGCGGAATGAACGATCCCCCCAAAAACCAATTTAAAAGTGAACTCATCGTGAAAAAGAAAGTGCAACCTAGTAGATAGCATCAGTACTTCCTGAATGCAAATTCAAAAGCCTTGACTTCTGATTCACTGGGACAGAGTCCGCGACTAATTGGGATTTCTGTGCGCGTATCTGGCGGCTATAGGCGATCGTAAGCCACACAAAAATCGGTCGTTATAGCAGAGTTCTATAAATACTCAAGGCCTGGTGGCAATTCAGGTTCATTAGTGCAAGTGATATTCCAGTAGCAAGAGTACTGTTCAGCATACAATCTAAAGTTATATTTCAATAAAGGAAAAGCTGCCAGGTAAAAATATTTTAATGCCTTTCATTTTAAGGAAAATTATTTGAAAATAGCCTTTTCTTTACTTTTATAATAATAATAAAAAATGTATAAAAATCTACCACTTAAAAGAACCAAAATTTTTTTTAAATGCATTTAAGTAATATTTTTGTCTCTCCCCAAATTATTTATAGAAACTCTCGCATCTTTTAAAAAAAATATAAGTAACCACGACTTTGAGTTCACAAACTAAAACAATACCTTTAAACAAATTAAGAATAGTTGCATTCTTAATTGTTGTTATTTTATAATGCAATAGTATTATTTAAAATGATTATTAGCTTAGCTAATTCGTTAAAAATCAACTTGCCAATAACATTGGTAGTACCAGTTTTTGTAAAAGGGCTTAACAAGTGTGGAGGCTAATTAAATGATGCCGACTTCGTTGTAATATAACTATTGCAACAGCTTTTTGTTTTAGCAGCTCATTCTAGTTGATTTAATCAATTAAAATGACAAAATTTGCTGCTGTTTGTCACGCCCCCAAACGCGATGCAGTTGTATGAACTTTCAGCTTTTTTCTCGTTTATTTATCAGATATTTGCCATTTGTCATTCAATGACAACACTTTGCTCTGCGAAGACGTCATAAACAATCAATTGTCCGCTGGGACAGGCATCAATTGTTGTCTCAATTGCAGAATAAATTGAAGACATTATGCAAAGACTTTTGGCGGAAGACTTGATTCATCTTTGCCTTCAATTACGAGACCTTTTTTGCTAATAGCAGTGGGTTAATTCAATTTTACAACCGAAAACTTAAAGAAGTCTACGCTTTGGCTTCCCTTTTGTGGGTCTTTCAAAACGAATTATGCAGGCAAATTCAATTTGCGCCTGGCGTTAGGCAACACCAAATGTTCCAATGACAAATGTTGCGCATACGCCCCGTGTATTTGGTGTTAGTATGGGGTAGCAATGGCAATGGCAATGGCAGTGGCAGTGGCTGGCAATTAAATAAATATTTAAATTGCGTATGATTCAATTAGAGCTACGGTTATACGTAACACCGTGTGAAAGATACTTTTTAATTCCAACCCCAAGACTTGTAATTTACTTTTAATTAGCGAAAATCATTCAGGCATAAAGCGAGCGTGGGATTTGGATTGCCAATGGGAATGGGAATGGCAATGGAAATGGGAACGGGGATGATGGGAAAGCTGCTTACTCTTGATTTGACTTGATTTGATTACATTTTAAAAGACAATCGGATTACTGCCTTCCGTAGCAACCAGCGGCTAGCGACGCAATGCAATCATCGACCGATGCGGGAAATGGTGGACCAAGAAAACACACGCAGAGCACAGCACCCCAGAAGCAGTCGGAGATTAGCGAGACCACCTCCTTCACCATAAGCGCCAGCAGCAACCAGCAGCCAACTCCCGGCGGACCAGCCACCAATACACCCAGCAAGAATCCCTTCAAGCAGCAGTTGGACAGCAACCAGCACAATGGCAACCAGGGAACGGACCAAGATTGCGGCATCCTGGGCGTCGGCAAGGAGCCGCCGGTCCCGCCACCGCCCACCTACCAATCGCAGGTCCACGGGGGGCGTGGTCCGGCACCGCCGCCAGCGGATCAGTACCGCGAGGAGGATCCACGCGCTGCCGGGTCCTGGTCCGCCGCCAAGTCCTGGATGGTCAGCTGGCGGGGCTCCAATCGCCTGGTGCTCGTCATCGTGGCCATAGCCCTGCTCCTCGACAACATGCTGCTGACCACCGTGGGTGAGTAAAAGTTTACCTTGGGGATGGGAATACCACCGCATAAATCTTATTCCTTGGTGGCCATTAGCATTTCATGAGCATTTATCTCCCGGGGCTGGTTATCCTTGCCAATCCAGCCAATCGCCTGGAAATTGTCCATTTCCCTAGAGGATGGGGAAAGTGGTGCCATAAAATTACCACAGAGCGGCACTTAAGCTAATGAACGTTTTCCTGTCAATGCGAATGGTCTTTGTCAGTTCATCAATTCTGAAGGTACTGAGGTTATTTTTTTTAGGATAAACGGGTGTTCTCTATGGCGAGATCTTAACAATCATACAAACCTTAACCGTTTAAGAAAAAAGCACCATTCATTTTGGGGTAGATTTATATGAACAATATCTGTACTCCATAATAGTATCTAAAATGAGGGAAACAGTAACTTCTTTAAACAAAACTTATCCCTGCTAAACACATTTTCCAAATAATAGTGGTGAAACAAATTCAAAATCAAGAATTCTTTAAAAACACGTTTTAAATAAATTTTGAATAAATAAAAAGGTCATCTTTCTGAAGAAATATCTTACTTCCAAAAAGGTTTTAAAAAATAAAGTTTCTGACTTTAAAAAAAAAACAAATTCCTTACATCTATAGTTATAGATTATTTTAAAGAAATAATTTTGGCCTTTCCATAACAATTACATTCAATTTTTTATGAGCTTATTAGAGCCCTAATTTAAGTAGAGAACTTTTTAGCTAACAACTAGTTTATAAGTGAGTGATTTTGTTTTGGAATAAACAGTAGTCTTCTGATCATTCGATAAGAACTTCGTGCACCCTTAATTTATGTGGAAAGCCGTGCAATTAAATCAAATACCAGCCAACAACTAATCAATGCTGAAGTGGTTGTGCTTAGTCATTACCAAGCATCGAACAGCGAGCATCGATGACCAATGAACCAGACTGGGTTGGGCAGCTCCAAGTGCTGGGCCGTCGACTGTCGACAGTCAATTAAATGGACACGCACTGGCAGACCCTCCTGCAGTTGACACTAAAACCCCACCAGGGATTGACCGTTTGGGGGTGGATGTGTCCCGGCCAAGTGCTTATGTCAAGTGTCTGGCCAAACACATGGACATTGAGTGGGAATCCTCTGGTCCGCAGGTCCTCCAGCCTGACAAATACAGCAAGGCTGGCGGATAGAAAAAAAAGCCAAAAAAAATAGGAACGAGATTTTTCTTTGTGCTCAACGTTCATGAATTTAAATCAACAAGTTGGGCAAAAACCAAAGGAAAAAGCCGAACCACTCGAGCAACTTGTTGAGAGAGAGCGAGAGAGAGACAGCACGGAAGTGAAAGTCAAAGGAAAAGTGGAAAGTGGAAAAACTATTACTGCTGACAGGATAGAGGAATGGGCTGGGCTTTTAGCGAGCGTTTGACTGGCGGCATTTCCACTTAAGTGCTTTCTCGATTCTCGCGCTCAAGGTGCTGAAGCGAAAATTGCTGCAAATACATTTGATTATTACATTTGATCTCTGACCCAGCACACCCCCATTTTCTCACATTTCCCCCAGTTTTATTTTTCTCGCATAATATCCTCATAAATTAGATTTATCCCGAAGCCTGTGGAGATTTATATGGGCCACGACCTTATCCGTTTGACTCGATACCAAATTGAATATGCAATAAGCCTTTGTTTTATTGAGGAAGATTGAATAATAGTAGCTTAAATAGGGTTCGCTTTGATCCAGGGATACGGTCATATCCTTGGCCAATAAAACGAGTATTTTACATTGACATTGGTTGAACTATGCAAATAGATGGTCTCGGTGCTGTAGCCAAATCTTTGGGGTGCCAAATAAATAGTAGATTTTAGGGAAATTGCTGGACTTACATGTTAGTAATACTTATAAAAGCTAGATTGAGAACCTTTTTTTTAGTAGACCCCGGATTTTATCTTTGTTTTCTTCATTGATTGATAGGATATGTTTTCTATAAAATAAATTAATCAAACAAACCTTTTAACCATTTTGGTAATCAAAAAATGTATGTTAAATATTAATGTATGTTTTAGAAAACTCATCGCTACTATATAAAACCAATATTTCATGCTCTGTAAACATTTAAGACGGGTAACTAAAGACATTTCTGCAAAATAATAGGTTTACATATTTAACACAGAAAAAAATGCTTTGCAAGTTTTCTTGTTTGTTACGAGCATTGTTTTAAATTTATGATAAATTCTCATTGTATATTTTCGAATACGAATCCGGGGACTAAATATCTGACCTATCCTAACTTAGTCGATGAATGTCAAAAATTGCCTTTCAACCTTACGGACATCACAATGAATGATTAAGCTAAATCCTTTGGATTTCCGACCTACTTTTCCTGGGCTTTGGACTCCAGACAGGCCACATCCACAGTCTCCAGCTTCTCCAGACACGGGCCCGGCCTCCTGGTAGGTGTGGTGGCCAGGGAGCGGGTCTTCAGACCACCTCCGCCCGTGGCCGGCGGCAGGAGCTGATCGAATCCGCCGGATCCATCTTTGGAGAGCGAGGCGCTGCGCGAGAAGGGGAAGTAGGCGTTCAGCTGCCGTTCCAGCACGTCCTTGTTGATGCTCGTCTCCCAGATTTGCTTCTGGATGATGCTGCTGTAGCGTGCCTCGAAACTTTGTTGATGCCGCAGCAGATCAGCCGCTCCTGAGCGTCCGCCCCTGGGACGCTCCCGCTCACGCTCACGCTCCCGTTCGACTGGCGTGGGCGTGGCCGGCTTGAGGGGACTGCCCAGGGAGTCCTCGTCGGTGGACATGCCACTAATGGCCGGAAAATTAAAGTGCGCCGTGGAAAACTTTGCTCGTTATGATGGCCAACAAGCAAGCGGCAAAAGAAGAACGCCAATTGCGAGGAGAACTTGCCGCGTCCGCTGCAGAAACGCGAATAAGTCACGGCAGTCCGTTTTTAGGCCTGTTATGTGTGCATTCCGAATACAGTCAGTATTGTTGCGCATTTTCTTGCGCTGAGCGCTGAGAAATGGGGAAAAGTCAAACGTCAGGCGGCGAAAAAGTTTTTGCCTCCAAAAGTAATTGCTCCCCCTTTTGTCTTTTGGCTTGCCTTGAAGTCAGAAAGTTTTTCGCCCGCTTTCCGTTGGTTGTGGATTTCGAAACGAGAGGCCGTAGTCACAACCACCCAACCAGACCCATTTATACAAAGGTCACAATCGTGCGGCTTTTTCGGTGTCGTTTCGCTGTCATGGCAGACGCAATGACTCATTGAGCCTTGCGCTTATCCCCCACCATCTACTTGCAGCGTATCTTCTAAATGCACAGTGAACAAATCTCATGAACCTGTTATAATTTCTTATAATTTATTAATTATATCCCTTATGCAACAAAAGGGCATCACTTTCGATTGTAAAGCATTGTCATAATTTCAATTCCGCTGTATTAAACATCACATTTTCAAACACTTCAAGAATTCGCGTTACCTTATGTGTTTGATTTTAAATATTTTCACCCTTAATCTGCTCTTATATTTGTACCTGTGTATCGGTGTGTATGGTATGTGTATGGTGATACTAAAATCGATTTTAAATACCGATAAAGTGCAGCTCAAGAATTCGCGTTTTATCATATAACTCATGGATTTGATTTTGTATGTTTCCCCAATGTATCTGTGCTTGTATTAGTACCTGTGTATCGATGGCAATATTAAAATCGAATCTTTATATCGACCAGTCAAACATTTGTTAAAGTGACGCTCAAGAATTCGCGCTTCTGATTTTATATTTTTCCCCCTTTATCTGCAACTGGATTTGCACCTGTGTATTTGTTGCGATATTGAAATCGAATCTAAATACCGACGCGTCAGTCATAAAATAAAACAATGACGACGACAACGGCAACTTGCCACGTGTGGCAGGCGGATGGTTTAGCTTCTGGTGTTGCTTGCATGACGCTTGATGGATATCCATGGAATCTCCTTCGCAACGGTTGACAGTTGTTGTCCCATTACACTGATGGATATGTAATGTCCATAATTAGTTTACGACTGTTTACGTTTTGTCTGTCGTAAACTCCATAAAAATAGTTACCAAGGAGTAGGCCTAAGGAAGCATAGAAAAGTCTAGAGAAAATATTAAACTATCTGTACCTTGATAATTTTTGCCTTTTCCACATCCCCCTGTTGTTAAAAGTGTATTATATTAAAAGCTCAAACATATTTTCAGCGATATAATGATTCTTTTAAGACTTTTATTTCTTTACTCAGTTTTTACTAACTAAAAACCTTATGTGACTCTTCCTCAACTTGGATTCCATTCTGCGCAAAATTGCCACATTCATTAGGGCAAAACTTTAACTTTAACTTTATTCCATTGTTAAACATGCAATATTTCCACAATTACATTGATTACGCTCCTTTCACTTGGGAACCACCCCACAACCACCAACCTCACCAGCAAAAATAAAACGCAAAAAATCAACAATACACTCAGAACCGAAACCAAAACAAAAGAAAATGGGCGTGGCACATGCCGCCGACTTTTCGGGGTAATCCCAAAATAAACTTACCAAATTCGATATAAAAAAAATAAACAAAAGAAACTTTCAATGGCAACGGAACAAAAACGAAAATCAATAAAGCCAAGAAAAGATTGTACGATATTAATAAGTTGTCCTCCGAAGCACAATAAATACTCTATATTCTAAGGCAAAGAGATTTTTGAAATAGTTTTGGTTTCAATGCAAGTTATTTTATGAAAATTATTTTAAACGGTGGAAAATACGATTTTAAAGGGTATCCTCAATTCAAGGATTCCTAAATTCACAGTTATTTCTGTGCTCTTGAGCGGTTTTTTTTTTTGCATGTTAATAAGGCAAATTAGTCTTGACTAATTCTCCCTTTCATTATTCTATGTTGTGCCAAAAGCCAAAAGCGTGTAGAAAGTTTTGCCTAGTTTCGCTTTTGGGAAGCGCAGGAGGATAATCATTCAAATTAACCGCATTAACCACTTGAATGTCAATGAACCCGTAGTTTAACAAAAAGAGAATTGTGAATCATTTGCATAATTTCCTCAAGAACCGTAGAGCTTCGATAGAAACTTACTAATAAAACTGTGTTGCGCTTTTTAGATGAAAAACAAAAGTTGTGTGGCAAAAAGGTGCTCGTCTAAAAAAAATAAACAGCAAACGTTTTTTTAAATATTTTATTTTAAATATAACTGTTAGGAATCAAAAATAAATTATAGTTATATAGTATAAAAGACTTCTTTTCTGTTTGAAATATAAGAACTATTTATTTTGCAAAGAGTCATTAGTTTAATACTTTAAAATAGAAGGGATTTTCAAAATTAAATTGCACACCATTTTAATATATAACTATTTATGTTGCAAAGAATCTCGAGTTTTTCGGCATGAATATTTTCAAATAGAACTGTGTTTTCAAAATAAATTGCATAACGTTTATTTAAAACTTTGTAAAGTTTTATCATATTGTAGAGTACAAATTAAAATCAGAATTTACTAACTAGACTGAGGCTGTCTACAGCTGGCAAAGCTCACTGAAGCTGGTGCTCAGGGCATCCTCGCCAGAACCCCCAATGCCACTGCCAGCCGCCGATCCCGCTGCCAGCAAACCCTTCTTCGGGAGGCTGGGCATGAAGATGTGCAGTTGTTTCCGGCTATCCGAGGTGGCCGACGCCATTCCCCGACTGCTGAGCGGCGGCGTGCGGCTGTCCTCCGTCAGCGGGGATGCACTGGCTCCACTGTACAGGCGGGCCGAGGCCAGTTGACCCGCCAATCTTCGCGTGGTGCTGGCACTGCTGCTCAGGGTGCACAGATCGATGTTGCGAGCGGGTCTATTTAAACGCACTGGTACACCCTCCTTGTTGAAGATTATGGTTATGGGCTTGGCATTGGTATTGGTGGCGCAGGCGGAGGCAGGGGCGGGGGGCGTGGTGACGGGCGGGGCAGAAGGTGGTGACTTGGCGATGGGCTTTCTGGCCACCGATCGCTGGTGATTTGCTGCCGCCGCCGCCACTCGCTTGAGACTCATGCTGCGATGCTGACTGCGCTGCAGCCTGTGAGCGGATCTGGCCAACTGGGCACTACTGGTGGCCACTGGTGGACTGGGCACCGGCACCGCCTCCTTCACTATGTCCGTGCGTCCGGCCAAATCCAGCCAATGGAGCACCCTCTCGGCCAGACGCTCCTCGGGATTGTTGGCCGTAGTGGTTAGACTGCTGGCTGCATCTTGCAAGGAGCTTCGACGCGACTGATGGTCCATCTGGTGATCCAGGTGATAGGTGCGCCCGCGGCTGAGCAGCCAGGCTCGACGCTTCGACTGGCGACTGTTGTGCCGCTGATCCCGCTGACCGACCCCCAACGAGGGGGCGGGGCCCGGCCGCCCACCCAAGGCGGGCAGCGATTGTTGCTGCTGCAGCGTCAGCTTGGTGGCGTCCAGTAGCAGGTACTCGTCCAGGTACTCCTCGCTGTCCTCCGTGGACTGCTCGTAGAACTCGCAGGATTGCGACTGCTGGTCGCTGCCTTTATCAAAAGAGTTTTTACAAAATTAGTTTAAACTTTAAAGTCCAAGTATAAATTTCGGAAATAATTTTCATTCACCATCATCGATCATCTATCAGATTTGAATTATAATTAAATTTATTTATTAAATTGAACTTTAAGCGGGTACAATTTTGGCACCTGCTGCTTATCGGAATAACAATTTTCTTTAATGTTATTAAATTTAAAAACAAAATATAAGTTTCTGAAATAACTATCATTCTGCATTATCAGTCATAATAATCATATTAGAATTTTGTTAAATTTTTTTTTTTTATTTAATTTAAAACGTGTACAATTATTGCACTTGCTTATTAGACTAACAATTTTCTTTATTATTGGATCACAATTTTTTGGAATAGGAAAAACCAGGCTTTCTGAATTACAACATTGCAATCGAAGTAAAACATTTTTTTCATTTTACCGTTTGATTCATTATTTGCCGGATCCAAATATTATAAGTACTAGGATTTCAAAATTGTGATTTAAATGGTTATATTTTATTTGAATTTTTTAGTGTACCTATTTGTATGAATTGTTACTTTATTAGGACATATACAAAATCAGCTAACTCTATTGATTGATCATATCATTTAAAGTAAGATATGCTTAGATTTCTTATCGTTTTACTGATATTAATTTAAGTTTTTTTTTACTAATACAAAATGGGTGTATTTTTACAAATAACTCAAGCCCTTTAAGATGCTATCCTATAAGTGATATATACTCACCTCTCAGCCTGGTTTTCTGGCGCTTACAGCGCTGCCTCTGTCGCGGCTCGTAGTCGAGGATGAAGTGGCGCCTCCCGATCGCCTCCTGCCACACGGAGCGCACAAACAGCGGCCTGCTGGCCGACTCCCAAATGGGTCGCATTCTAGCCCCCGTCTCCCTCCGTCCGGATTCTATGGCTAATTAAATCCTGTGCATATTAATTGGCTACACAAAGCGTATGCCAGCGTTTCTAGCTCGGGTGCTGAGTTGTCCTCTTCCTCGTCGCCGGCGGATGACTATGGCTTTGGCTTTGGCTTATGACTGGTTGCTTTGCCAGTTGCCGCCTCACTGCCGCTGCTGCTTCTGTTTGGCTTGACGACGACGCCACTGTCGCCCGGCATGTCGAATCGATGTATCTGGGTGACCTGCGGACGCCACAGGGCTGCGATAAAGAAAGTGTCACAGGAGTTGGGGCTCTAAAACATGTTTTAGAAAATGGAAATATTCCTTTTTCAAGTTTGCCCTTTTTTATTTAGAACTGTCAATGTCTTTATCATCTGGATAGAATTTAAGCAAGGCAACACAAAAAATAACAGTCATTATTAGCTATTTCTCCTGCCAATCTTAACTTATTACAATAAAATAAAAACAGCAATATAATATTTTTTATTTTAATTTAAAAAAAGAAAATATTTTTTTGAAACCAAAATTGTAGAGAAAATTATAATAGTATTGACCACAAGCTTTAAACAACAAGTAAAATTACTGGAAAAAAGATATAGGAATGCAGAACAGATTTTTTTCCAATTCCTTTCCAAAATTTGTTCCTTTCAATTAACACAAATATTAACAAGCATTAGCCTGATCAATTTTTGCATTATGCTGCAAAAGGAACGAAAAAGTGAACACATTTTTAGATACATACTTTTTTTTTGTTATCTGTTAATTAAAATTTTTTTAAATGAAAACTTAAAAAATCAAATACGAGTGGGCTCGTATTTAATCAGCCTTTTAAATCACTAACATCCTATCACTATTTTCGCAGCCCTGAATCAGCGATAGTGACTGTTTGTTTGTCTAGCTGCCCGAGTCGCCTTCCTTTTGGCATTGCGGTTTAAGTGTCTTTGACACGCGAAATGCAACCGAAGCGACTGAGTGACTTCCGCTGCTCCACTCAATCCCGATACCAATCCACCCCCACCCTTAATATGCCACACCCACCTCCTGACCCGTAACATCCTGCACCCACCTCGTGACCCCGGCTACACGTGCTTTTTTTTCGAATTATCATTTTCATGTCAAAGACTCGGGGAGACAATTTAATGAGTTGTTGGACTGGGAATTACTAGGCAACATTTCTCTTGTGGCATTAAATTTGCTGTTTAATCGCCAAGTGGTTAACCCCAATTAGGTAGATGTTACCAAATTTGCATACATTTCCGCTTGCATGTCATTTGGGAGCAAAAGCAGGTCGCCAAATGGCATGTTCGACCACATGGCCGACATATGTGACAGTCGAATGGGATTCCGGGTCGACAGGTGATACTTCCACTTTCGCTGAACTTTGACACGTGGCGGCACGGACCAATACGAGAGCTGGCAGCTAGAACATCTAGCCCTAGAACCTAGCCCTAAGCCCATTATGTCTGAATGGCCCTCATTAAAGCACAAAACCCTAACTTGCAGGCCATACATATATGGTTACGGCCTGTCACTACGATAACCACGAATCATTGGGCTCACAAGCAAACAAATTACCCCAACAATACTTCAAACTATGCTCGGCACTCACTACTCAACTGAAAGACCATCCAACCTCTGACCTCGGCCTAGTGCTAGCACTTTGGCAGGAAATGCAATTACAGTGGCCCGGAGTTGTCTCGAGTTCTCCGGGTGTTGATAATAAATATAAACAGAGTCGAAGCATGCAATAAACAAATTGAATTTGCCGGCAGAGGGGCCAAGTTGCATGTGGCTTTTACGCTAGACAGTGGAGAGTCCATTAAACGCATCGTTGTGAACGTGGCGTATGCGCAATTTTTAGCCCATCATCAGCCCCCTTTTTGGTTGCAACTCAATTAGGTGGGAAGGCGGAAAGAAGGGAAGGGGAAAGGGGAAAGGGGGCAATCTCTGCCAGCGGCAAGGCAATTACAAAACTTTCTGGGGCCTGGAGAACGCAATTACCAAGCGCCTGGGCCTGTGCGAAAATTGCCCGAAGGCACAAGAGCGTTTAGCGTTTTAATTGTGAGCAAATTCTTTTTGTTGCAATCAAATTATAAGACCCGCCACTTCTGTTCGCCCGCCCCCCCGCTTAGTGCCCATCATACCTGAGTTCCTGTACGACATACGACATCCGGATGCGCCGCTCGACAGCTTTCCACGCACCCCGCTCACGTCCAACGTTCCGCCGCCACCCACGCCGTGTCCTTGCAACAAGGACGGCAGCGAGGCGGCTCCGCTCGAGTTCTCGACGATAAGTCCGGAGGGTAAGTGTGTATCGCCTGCGCGCTAATTGGCCACCGGTCTGCAGCCCAAGTACTTGCATATCCCCCCAGAAAACGAAACCTATTACCGCGAGCTGGAGGAGCGCCACAACGAGCTGGTGGGCGAGACCGTCGAGGTGGGACTGCTGTTCGCCTCCAAGGCGTTTGTCCAGCTGCTGGTTAACCCGATTGTAGGACCCCTGACGCACCGGTAAGTCGAATTTAGGGTAAGGCTTAGGCTTGAGATTAAATATCTTAAGAAAAATATTTAGAAAAGTCATCAAACATACTTTAGTGGATTTACAAATAAATTAAATTATAATTTTAATTTACATACAAATCTGAATTTGATTTTTTGTTTTATAAAAAAAAAGGAAAGAAAGCAAGCTATTGCAAAAATAAAATATTCTTGAAAATATTTATACTTGGATTTATTTGATGATGATTTTCAGCTAAATTAATCGATCATCAATTCTGAACTATGTAAAAAAGAATTTAAAAAATTTGTATTATTTTTTTTTTTAATATTATGATTACTCTTATGGGAGCTGTATGATATAGTCGTCCGATTAAGCCCTAATTCTGAAATATTTAACCATTACTATTATATATCTTGAAGATATTTCTGACTGATATTATAAAACCCTCTAAGGGCATAAAAAGGCATTTGAAACCTTTACCTTTTAAAATATATTAATGATTGTATATATTAAAATTTCATAAAATTATGTTTATGTTATAAATACAAATAAATAAGCCTTAAAACAATAATTAAATAGAATAATAAGATATAAATAAAACTACACCCAAAAAAACAGTAATACAGTATAAGTATTATTTCAATACACGAGAAATATAACCCCTATAAGTTTTACTTTTCTTCCTATACCGTGGAGTGTAAAACAAAATTTTTGTTATCATACTTTCGTGGTATTAATTTAATACTCATCTTAGTAAGAAATTTTTTAAATCCAATAGCTTAAAATTCAATTGATATTTTGTTTTCAGACATTTTTAAAACAAGTTACTACATGATCTGAAAGTCTATTATTTATTATTTTTAATTTTAAATTTGCCTTACATACAAAATATTAAATCTTTGAATGAATTTCTCTCTGTGCAGCATTGGTTACAGCATCCCCATGTTCGCTGGCTTTGTGATAATGTTTCTCTCAACAATCAGTAAGTTACACACACGCTATGCCATGGCAAATCGCAATGAACCCTTCTACTTTGCCTAGTCTTCGCCTTTGGCCGCTCCTACCTGGTGTTGTTTGTGGCGCGGGCTCTGCAGGGCATCGGCTCCTCCTGCTCCTCGGTTTCGGGGATGGGCATGCTGGCGGATCGGTTCACGGACGACAAGGAGCGCGGGAATGCCATGGGTATAGCGTTGGGCGGTCTGGCCTTGGGCGTGCTCATCGGGCCTCCGTTTGGCGGGGTGATGTACGAGTTCGTGGGCAAGTCGGCGCCATTCCTGATCCTGGCCGCTCTGGCTTTGGGCGATGGCCTGCTCCAGCTGTTTATGCTGCAGCCGTCGATCCAGAAGGCCGAAACGGAACCACCCTCGCTGAAGAGCCTGATCAGCGATCCCTACATCCTGATCGCTGCGGGTGCGATCACCTTCGCCAACATGGGCATCGCCATGCTGGAGCCCTCGCTGCCGCTGTGGATGGTGGACAACATGGGCGCCACCCGTTGGGAGCAGGGCGTGGCCTTCCTGCCCGCCTCCATTAGCTACCTGATCGGCACCAATCTCTTCGGACCGCTGGGACACAAAATAGGACGTTGGTTCGCCGCCTGCTTGGGCTTGATTATCATCGGGGGATGTTTGATCTTTGTAAGTGAAATATTTATTTATAATATATTTAAACCATTAACAACTGTTAATGTAAAAGTAAAATATAAACAATTGATTGGATCCCTATATTAACCATTTAAATAAACTTTGGGTTGGAGGAAACTAAAGAATTCGCTTTATGGGATAAGATATCATTAAAGAAAGGATGGATTTTTTATATCAAGTTAAAGATATAGCGTTATTAGAACAGTACGACATATCTAAAGAATATCGCCTATTTTTTTTATTATGAAAATTAAGCTGAAGAATTCGCGTAACCGTTTTCATTTAATTGGGGGCTACTAAGAATATAGAATTCATACACTATCTTAAGGATATGTCGTTATTAGATCTATAAGACATATTTAAAAAACTGACGTCTTTATTTTTTTATGGTAAAAGACATGAAGCCAAATAATTCGCGTGTTTGTGTTCTTTTCATTAGCGACTAACAAGGGATTTTATTGAAAGCAATATATTAACTTGGTTTTAATATTTTTATTTTATTAGTAAAATCTTAATGTTTTCCTAATAAATTTTATAAAATATAAAAAAAAATTGTAATTTAATTTATATTTATATGTTTAATATTTTTTTAAGATACCCATGGCCACCTCGATCACGCACCTGATTATTCCGAACGCTGGCCTGGGCTTTGCGATCGGCATGGTGGACTCCTCGATGATGCCCGAACTGGGCTACCTGGTGGACATCCGGCACTCGGCGGTGTATGGAAGTGTTTATGCCCTGGGTGATGTGGCCTTCTGCGTGGGCTTTGCCGTGGGTCCGGCGCTGTCCGGATCGCTGGTGAAGAGCATCGGCTTCGAGTGGATGCTCTTCGGGATCGCCATCCTCTGCTTCATGTACGCCCCGCTGCTGACGATGCTCAAGAATCCGCCGACGAGCGACGAGAAGAAGGTACGTATGGCCAGGGAGGCGGCCGAGGCGGCTGCAGCCGCTGCTGCCGCTGCAGGGGAATCCCCTGGAATCCCCCAGCTGACCGCTTCCTGCCCGGCCATCATGCATGGTACATCCGATCCCAATACGGATGCCGAGGCTGGCAGAACGAACGAGGCCTACGAGAGCGAGAGGCTTTGAGTCTTGCCAGCAAATATCCTAGTTTTTAATTATCATTTAGTTGTTAATTTTTTCGTATTATTAGTCATTCTTATTCTTATGTTTTTATTAGCCTTAAGTTCTGCTTAATTTGTTTGTAATAAAATTTTTAATTTTTAATTCAATTGTTGCCTGAGTTTTATTGTGCATGCTTCATATATGTTTCATATAAGGTAATATAGTAAACTAACCCATAATTTATTTGTTTCCTTGTTATTCCAGTCTTTGATTTATGGACGCGATCGGGCCCAGGTGCGTTATGTAACCTATCAGAACTACGATGAAGACGAATAAACGCAAACGATTTAATTCCAACGCAATGTTGCCAAAAGTGCAACCAAAAACCAACAAAAAAAAAGGGTAATAAAATCAACAAAAAAAAATTAAGTGAAGATCAAAGAGGCAGAAAAGTAACCGTAACCACAACCAACAATATCAGTAATATCATATGAATTTCCAAATGAAATCGTTGTTCTTGTTCAATGTTTTGCACAAGTTGCACTATAGTGTTTATATATACCATTGATCATATCAAGAAGACACCTCTCCCCCCCAAAAAGTTTTGCACACGTTAAAGTCAAGCACAGAATTATCTGAAGAAAGTACTATAGAAGAATTAGAAAGTCGAGTGAAAATAGGGCTAGATGTTCGAAGTGACGGGTAAATTATTATGATGGATGGTAAAGAGAGAGAGAAAAAAGTAAGGATCCTAAGAACCCTACTACATATTGGAGGCAATTCAGTGGCCAAAGGATTGGAAACTAACTTTTTTTTTTGAGAACACCAACAGTCGCATCGGAAAACATCAGATGTGACTGTACACAGAGCTCACGAGCTTCTAAGAGTCGTTCCTCGGAAGACTCTACTCCCAGCAGGGAAGGTTTAATTGCTGATCCAATTAGCAGACGCCTGCAATTGCATTGATTTAATGGGTGGGGGGAGCATCAAGGAGCGAATTGTCTAGATTATACAGAAATTTGGTATATTCTTTTCGGATTTTGTTGGGCTAAAAACATATACAAGTCGAATAACGAATCGCACAACTGGTCCATCAAAGAGAAATTAAGGGAGTGCATGGGTGACCTCTGGGTCAGATCAGATCTATGCTCTAGAGATGATCTGACCCCGAAGGCAACCATGCCAACCCCCCCGTACTTTCCCTTCTCATAAACGCATCCTCCGCAGATTGTCCGCAAACACGTCGATCTTCACCTGGCAGGCATCCCGACTTTCCACACTTCTGCTCCCTTCTCTTGTCGCTGGCGAAGATCCCCTCATCCGCACATGATTCATGCTGAACGCTAGATCCCTATCCGTCGTCCGCGAGGTGGTTATCCTTATGGGCATGCTGTTCAGAGAGGTAACGAGGGGCTGGCCTCCATTCAGCTGCTTGGGCTCACTCACCCGAGCATTCGAGGATCGCCTCATGCTGCAGCTGCTCTGCACTCCGTTGCTGGTGACTGTGACATGGACATTGCCATTGGAAGTGCCCGAAGTGCTGCGATCCAGGTTTCTTGGGATGGTGGTATTGCGAATGGGGCTAGAGCTTCGACTGGAGGAGGAGCAATTGGTACTACCAGTGGGAGATGATGAACGGGAGCTGGCCATGGGTGGTGGTGTAGACGAACGCGGAGGAGTAAGTGAGCGGGTAGCGAATGCTACGGTTTCTTTTCTCTGACCAAACGGAGTAGTCGGCCTTTCTTTCGGCACAGGTTGCCTTCTCCTTGAGACCTCGGAACGCTCACTCCGACGGGAAGGTAGATCGCAGTAGGCCATTCCGGGCAATCGGTCATCGGAGGTGACAGCGCACAAGTGCGATGTCATTGGAACAGATGGTCTTGGCTTCATTGGCTTGGCTTCCGCCCGATGCAACTGCTGCTGGAGGACACACAGGCGGTGGAACTCCCTGCACCGCTGCGATTCCCGTTCCAGCTCCCTCAATCGATGCCGCTCGCGCTCCTCCTCCAATTCCAATAGACGCTGCCGATCCCGCTGCCGCTCCAGCTGGCGTAGATGCTCCCGATCCCGTTCCCGCTGACGGGCACGTTCGCGCTCCTCTTGGCGCTCCCTTTCCTGCTCAAGTCGGAGGTCCTCCCGAAGCTGCCGGCGACGCTCCTCCTCCCGGACCTTCTCCTTCTGCCGGAGCTCCCATTCCGGACTCGTACGCGGTTTCGTCTCGCTCACATTGAACTTGGACAAGCGCTTGTCGATGTCGATGCCAAAGGCACCAGTGCACCTGGAGCTGCTACTCTGCTCCGTGTTCGGCTTGACCCGATCCGTGTTGTTGAGCAGATAGGCATCCGCCTCGATCTTGATGCTCACATTGTTGTTCTCCACCTCGGATTGAGGGTCCATGCTGCAGATGCTGATGTTGATCTCACAGCCACTGCAGGCACTTCGCTTGCTCTCCAGCCGGGTGTTGGAGCCACGGCAGAAGGTGGTGGCCGAGGCCTTGCGGATGCCACCACCAGTGGCTCGCAGGTGGTTACTCCTATTGCTTCTTAGTGTCGTGCTGCTCTGGTCCCGTCTCATCGTCTGGTACGCTCCGCTTTGACAGCAGCTTCTCAGGAGCGGGGAATCCGTGACAGTGGATGGGTTGGGTGGACGTCTCGTCTGGGGAGCCTTGGAATCCTGCTGCAAACGACGCTTCCGGTGCTCACTGACAGAGCAAGTGGGTAGACTCCTCTTGGCAGGAATGTACTCGGGATCCTGACTGAACCGGGGATTGTGGTAGAAGGTCTGGAAGGAGGGCTTCGTCACAAGTGGCGGCGGAGCCGGGGGCGGTGGCCTCTGATAGTTCTGAATGGGATAAAACGGCTTGTCGGCATAGCGAAAGTTGTACGACTGAATTTTGAAGGGGTCTCCGTGGAAGACATCACTCGGAATGCGACGTGAAGGATCTGTCACCATAGAAGGCCCTGGGAATTAGTTTTGACAGAGCTTTGCACCTGGCAACCACATGAAACTCACACAAAATACGATTCATTTGGGGCAGGAAATTTGGACTTTTCGAGGACGTTGGGCCAAAGAGATTGCGAGTTCGAAGACAGCGTGGCAATCATAGAAATGAATTTTTTTTTCTTGACAAAATTTTTTTTTATAGATTTAGAACCGAAAACCCAGGTAACTTTGGTTCTCGGTTCTGTTCACACTTGACTCGCTCCTCGAAACCCATTAAAACCTTCTGGCAATACGGCGTAGCAATTGGAGGGCAATAATGGGTATAACACCAAAAGGGGAGACCCACCTTCCTTAAGCAAATCAATTTCATATTCAAGTTGTTAAAGTTAAAATAGAGAAACTAAATAATCGAAAAAATCTTGTAAAATTGTTGCCCACATAGCACACACACAAGTTATCTGACAAAATAAGGGAATTAAATTTAAGCTTTTGGTGCCGAAAGGTATGCGGAAAATAAATACATTTCCACAGGAAACAAATATGTTACTTGTAGAAGGCTATATACGCGAACACAATTTTGAAAATATATTTAGTTACATATTATGCGTTCAATTATATAGTAGAGAATGAAGTCGCTAAATTGAGTGTTTGATAAATATTTTAAACTATATACAAAGTACTGCTCAAATTTTCAACTCTTCCCACCCAAAATTTAAGACTTTTCCTCATAAGTATTAACGACTTCGTTCCCGCACTCAATCAGATCAACTTGGATCACTGGGATATTGTCGCAAGACACTTGAATGGCTGCAAGTGTCTTTTAGCGTTTTGATCGAAAAGATCATGTAAAATCCTCTTCAATGCATAAGTCCCTATTTGATGGGTCATCAAAAGCATTATTTTGGACGCGTATAACCCAAATTAATCGTATTGTAAAGGAAAATATCTCTGTAATGGCCGGAAAAGGCAAAAGGAAGGCCAACAAAATGTAGTTAATCGCAGGTATACAATGAGGTTATATTGACAAACTGTATATACGAATAGCTGAAATACTTGCTGATTATCATCGTTGTTCCAATTGTTGTGAAACTTGAACTTTAACTCAATCAATAATACTCTAGATCCATTCATAGTACACGAGATTCTACGTTGTGTTCGTTATGACCTTTCACTTTTCACGCTTTGAAGAATTGCCGAATTCAATCATGCAACACGCGTTTTACAACTAAGGGACTCTTCAAAAATTGCATATTATAGCCACTTTAACATACATACATATGTTGTAGTACAAAGACATTGTACAGGGTATGCAACTGCAAAGTACATATGATATTTAGCAAAAGGTTTTGTTCGGTTTTCATAAAGTTGTTGTGAAAGTTTATGCTTCAAGCCCCCCACATTCGGGGGCCCAGCATTCAATATAAACGTGTGAATTAGACAATATAGCTTCTAACTGAATAGTTCAGCATACTCACAATATTATTCGTAATCAAGTCGTTATTGTTGCCTAACTATGTTCAAATGTTGCATAAGTGTTATGAGATAAACAATCCAAAAATAAAGCTGGTATGGGGTCAAACAAACAACAATGCTAAAGCAACTAACCAAAGCGTTTTGTGCACAGTATTTTAATATTCGAAATTAATACTATTATTATTAAATTGATATACTTAACGTTTACTGTATGTATTTGCTAACTAAGATAACCGCACACACACATACTCTCTCTCAAAAGTTCGTATTCGAATGACCGCAAAATAAAGTATAGTTTAGCGCGAGCATATTAGTCAAAATAAAGCAGAGTATTTAGTATGGATAACCTGGCATTATTAGCATATATATATATATATATACATATATATAACGATTATCACATTTTTACACAAACCTTGAAACTATGTGTGTACTCATGTCATGCCATGCCATGTTTATGGGGTGAGAACCGGGAGAAACCAAAACACAAACATACATATATATACTATTTATAATGACCAATGGTGACCAAGTAGAATATACAACTATACTAACTTAAATATAACTATATGTGAAACTAAAATACCAACTATCTATACGAACAACATTAATATCTATAACATTAATAATCTATAACTAGTCATTTGACATATGTTTATTTCATAGAGATATTGCTAACTAAGCTGATACCGATATCGGAAAACCAAACGAAATATTCGTTGAGTTTAATATATACTCGCCCATCATATAAATTGGAAACAATGCAAATGCAAAATACAAATGTGTAACTGAAGTTGTTGGTGAATAAACAAGCTACAAAACATCGCACGTCTTTCAATCAATCAGTGTTTAAGGGACATTTAACTTTATTGAGTCTCTATATTATTTACATTCACTTCAAAGAAAAGTTTTTAACACAATCAGTTGAAATTCCGATAAAGGGGGCAATTTGCTCCCCTTCAGTTTAAAATGTTCTTACATCTGAAATTTGCTATGTATGGTATATACATTTTGTGTTTAGATTATTTTAAAATTGTACACTTTACTTTAAGGTCAACTTTTAGAAAGCCAAAAATTAGAATAGGTTTAAGAGGGTTGGGAGAAATGTCAAGAACGCTTTGAACTTAAAACTAATTCATGTGTGACCGCTAGTTTGGGTGACTAAGAAGCCGCCTTGGACTCATCCAGCTGCGAGATGTCGTGCTTGTCCTTGGCAAAGGTGATGATTTGGTTCAGACTTTCACCCAGCTCCTCCATCACTTCGCGCTCCGTGTCCTCGACGGGCATGTTTTGCTTCTCATGCATCACAATCCGTGATATCATGCACATGATGGTCGCCTCAATGACATCGTCCGTCAAATACAAATTGGCGCGGTTTTCGTGCGTGTGCTTATCGTTTGTTTTGTCCGCTTTTGCACCCTTCGCTCCCATCAAGCCATCCAAAGAGTCCATGTCCACATCCGGACGATCTTCCATGTTTCGACAGCCTGCATCACATAGATTTTAGTTAATTAAATCAAATTTGCAATCTGACCAACTGTTTCTCACTTACCCACGCATTTACATATGCTTGTGCAGGGAATCTTTGCCTCGTAACACTCGCAGTAATTCTTGAGGCAGCCCGATCTTTTGCAATTGCAGCCTTTGTTATGCAATCGCATGTCCCCTGAATTAGGAGCCGTAATTTTGGGCCTGTTTGAAGAAAATAAAATATGGGTTAAAATATGGACCAGATAATCTTCGATCTTCCTCCGAAATAAATACTTGAAGGCGCTTGGATTGCGATCGAGGCAACTGCGAATGGCTCGCTCGCGCTCCACCTCATAGTCCAGATTGTTGAAGCAATCCTTGCAGCTACAGTCCTGGCAGAACTCCCCGTTCGCGAAGCAGTCGCAGTAGAGCTTTAAACACTGCGACTTGCTGCAGTTGCAGTGCTTCCGTCGCGAGGTCATGCCGCCTAGAGCATCGACGGTGGCCGCTGTCCCGGCTGCCGCTGGTTTCAGGATGTCGAAGAGCGGCTTGGCGGGAACGATGGGCTTCTGGATGGGCGGCTGTACCGGTAGCGTTGGCTCCACCTTGATCGCTACCGATTGCAGCTGCTGCTGCCTTATCCTTTGCTTGGCCTGAGCCTGCAGTTGCATGTGCTTGGTTTGCTGCTGCGGATTCAACTGCTTGAAGCGATGCTGCTGCGAGGAAATGGACAGCGTGCGCCGCAACTTGTTGTCCACATAGCCAGTGTAGCCCCGCCGCATGGCACTGGTCGACGATTGGGGCACACCCGAGTTACAGATCATATACTTGACCCCATTGGTCCCCGTCGATTTTACAAAGTTGTAGATTTTCTTGGGCGCACTGGAACTGGGACTGCTGCTCGCCACCGCCACACGCTGCACGTTCGTTTGCCGACCGATGAGCTTTTGATTGGCCTGCGTAGTCTGCTGCGTTCCCTGCTGCTGCATGGTGATCACGTATCGCGGCTTCTTGGCCTCCGGACCCGCATCGCTGCTGTCGCTGGCATCACTGCTGGCGGAGGCCAAGTGCTTCAGCTGCTGGTTGAGATCAGTTAGCCGGCTCTTGCGTGGTGACTCCTGGTTGCCACTGGTGTTGCCGCTATTGCTGCTGTTGCTGGTGTTTGTGTTGCTGACACTGGCTGGCTTGGAGGCGTTGGTGCTGGCGCCCAGCGCACGCTATAAAAAGGATTAGGTTAGAGGAGACTATACGCTACAAATTTAGACCACATTTACACACCTTGGAGACCAACGTCTGCATGGAGGGAAGCGGCACAATGCTGCCGCCCATTGTCCGCATTACGATCTTGTTCGTGTTACCCATGGAAGGAGCTGCCTTCGGCGCTGCTGAGGCTGGACCTGTTACGGCTGGTGTGGCAGAAGATGTGGCTAGTTTGCTCGTAGCCGCGGATGTGCCAGATGGAGTCCGCACCACAGTGATCTTCTGGGTTGGCATGGTCTTTGGAACGGCCACGCTTGCACTCGATCCCGCGGCGGCACTCTTGGTGTTGGTCAGTACGCGTACATACTGCACTCCTGCCTTGCCGGGCAGCTGAATGGCGTGCAATTCGCTCGTGGGCGATGCGGTCTGTCCGCCAGCCGTGTTCGTTATCGCACTGGTGGCCCCCGCTTTCGGCGACAGTTTAATGATGTTCTTGCTGGACACAAGGATCTGCTTGCCACCGCTCTGCACCAACATTTTGCCTGGCGTTGCAGTTGTGCTTGTGCTCGTCGCCGTTGCGGCTTGCTTAACAGGTGTTGCTGACTTCAGCAGCACCGGGCCCACGGATTTGCCCAGCACCACACTACCGGTGGAGGGCGATGGTTTGACAGTCGAAGTTCCCGGAGTGGCCGAAGTTCCAACCGCTGATTGTTTGGCATTCAGCAGCAGCGAGGAACCAGCCTGATTGATTTTGATGATCTTGCCATCGGCAGTGCGCACCACCTGGATTTTTGTGTGCTGTACCGCTGTCTGGCATGTGGGCGATGTGACGGGGGATGTAACCTTCGCACTGCTTCCTCCGGCCAGCGGTGTGATGCCCTTGATGGTGAAGGTCGTGGAGGTGGATGCGGAGGCGGTGGAGGAGCCGGAGCCGGAAGAACCGGTTGTACCGGTGGTGACTGCTTTGCCCGGCACCGCCGCCTTGACCAGACCCGTGTTCGCCAGAGCCACGCCCTTGGCGAGGACCGCCTTCTGGATGGCTGCCGGCGCAACGAGACGGCGTATTCCTCCGCCTGGTGAGCCGGTTACCGGGGCTTTCGTCTGTGTGGCGGGCACAGTCTTCTGAACGAAGATTACCCGGCCGTCTTGCGTCTTGATCTGGGTCAAATTGCTCAGGGTCTTGGTGATGGTGCCCGTGCCCGTGCCCGGCGTGGATGTGGTGGCGATTGTGGTGCTGCCGATCTTGAGGGTTTGGCTGGTAATCGGTTTCAGATTGTTCAGGATCTTGAGGTCCTTAATTTGCGGCTTGGCCGGAGAGTTGGCTCCGGCAGTGACCACTTTAATGGCGTGCGACTTCAAGACGGCTCCACCCGATGTGGGCAACCGTTTGTCCTCCACTATGTGCACCACGTTCCTTTTGAACTGCGGCGTGTTGAGGGAATCGTTGGCCGGATCGACCGGTTCATCCTCGTCGACGTCGTCGACATCCGAATCCAGGGCATCGATCTCCATGTGTTGGGAGCTCTTGTCCGACGTTGGCTCCAAAAAGTCTTCAAAACTCAACTCGGGCAACGGCTCCGTGTCGTCCAGGGAATCTGCGGATTAAAAACAGGCATTATTCACACTGTGAATAACATTTTATGGCCTTTAAATATACCCGACAAGTAGTCAACGCGGTAAGTAGTCATTTTTGTCAATTTTCAATTCAATTTCAAAATGTTCTTTATCATCAGCTGCGGTCAAGGCGGTTGCACCGGTGCATTTTCCAACACTAAAAATGTGTGTTTAAAAGTGTATCTATTTCGACTTCGAATGTATCTATTTCCGATACCGATAACATGTTCAATAAGCAATCGATTTCGGGTGCCGAAATTCAAACTTCTTTTGTTTTCCCTTTAGTGATTACATCTTGTTTTGGGTTTTTGGATAAAGCGTCTATGCTTATGACGGCACTCAATAATACAAGGATCAAACGTATTGATAGTTAAGAACTTTGCAATTACAAATACAATTATTTTTCGATTTTATAAAATCAACGGAGTACGTTTAGAACAATTTTCCCTGTTTATCTCAAATGTTGCTGCTATTTTCTGTTAATGGGGGTTTGATTTTATTTTACTCGACTGTGATTGGAGCGCCAACAACTTATACAATATGCATAAAAATCGCTTAAGAATATGATTCTAGTTAATGACTGACAGCGTTTACGGGCTCTACTTCTTGGCAGCCACCTTCTTCTCGCGCGCCTTCTTGCCCTCCGTCAGCTCCAAACGCTGCGATTCAGTCAGGGCGGGCATGGTGTTGGTGACGACTCCGGTGCCCAGCGTCAGGTTGCCGTCGCGCAGCGTGAAGCGCTGGCCCTGTTCCAGGACCATGGGCCGGATGAGGCGCAGAATCAGCTTGGTGTCCTCGCCGGGCATGACCATCTCTTTGTCGGGAATCTGAACCTGCACGGCGCAATCCCAGGTGCGCGAGAACATCTGCAGCTGAATGAAGGACATGAAGGGCTTGGTGCGGCCGCCCTCTTCCTTGGACAGGATGTAGACCTGGGCCTCCAACTGGTCGAGAGCCTTCACACTGCCCGGCTTGCACATGACCATGCCGCGCTTGATGTCATCTCGCTTGACGCCGCGCACTAGCGCTCCCAGCTGGTCACCGGCCTGGGCCTCCTCCAAGATCTGATGGAACATCTCCACTCCCGTCACCGTCGACTTGAGCACCTTGTTATAGCCCACGAACTCGCACTCCATGCCCTTCTTGACCACTCCACGCTCCAGGCGTCCAGTGACCACGGTGCCACGTCCGGGAATCGAGTACACATTCTCCACGGGCAGCAGGAACGGTTTGTCCAGCTCGCGCACTGGCGTGGGAATAAAGCTGTCCACCTCCTTCAGCAGCTGCAGGATCGCCTCCTTGCCGATCTCGGGGCTCTTGTCTTCCAGGGCGCACAGTGCCGATCCCTTCACCACGGGTATCTTGTCGCCGTCGTAGCCCATCTCAGTGAGCAGCTCACGGATCTCCATCTCCACCAGATCGACCATCTCCTGGTCGGCGGCATCCACTTTGTTGATGAACACCACAATGTGATCGATGCCGATCTGCTTGGCCAGCAGCATGTGCTCGCGGGTTTGCGGCATGGCTCCGTCGGTGGCGGCCACCACCAGAATGGCGCCATCCATCTGGGCCGTGCCGGTGATCATGTTCTTGATGTAATCCGCATGACCGGGACAGTCCGTGTGGCCGTAGTGCCGCGTCTCCGTCTGGTACTCCACGTGCGCCACATTGATGGTGATGCCGCGTGCCTTCTCCTCGGGCGCGTTGTCGATCTCGTTGTACTTCTTGCTCTCCGCCAGCTGCTTGTCGGCCAGGACCTTGGTGATGGCCGCCGTGAGCGTGGTCTTGCCGTGATCCACATGGCCGATGGTGCCCACATTGCAGTGGGGCTTGGTGCGCTCGAACACCTTCTTCTCGTTGGCATACTGGCGGAGGTACTGCTGCAGGTTGCCAATGCGGGGGGTCGAAAGTAGTCCGTTCCGCTGCCAGTCCTTGCCGGCAGTGGAGGAGGCAGTGACGGCCGCCAGGCGTAGCGTCCTCGCGGAGCTCATGGCCCGCCGACTGCAGCGTAGGGCCAAAGACATGGATGCGGTGGACCGGCAGACGGCGGCGGCAAATGCGTGTGACATGGTTCTGGGCTTTCGCTGGCTCTCCTCTGGGCGCTTTTAACTGGATATTGGGATTAGGATAGGCGCTTCAGAGAGGGGGAACTCCTGTTGCACTTACTGGTTTAGATTGAGCTGTCCTGGCAGGGGCAAAAAGCCTTTTCACGGGTCGAGAAAAATCGTACGGCTCGAAATTGCGTAAACCCTGAAATGTGCTGTGCGCCAGAGCTGCCACCTTGTGTTGGTATTTCGATAGACATCCGCCTTATCGATAACAAATACTATTTCGTACCAAGAAAAGTTATTTTTAAATCTCTAATATTAATTTATTAGGTAAAGCGTAGCTATTATTATTTGTTAATTTAACATTGAGTTTTATAATTTTTTTATCTGAGCCGTTTGCATAAGTACTTCGATGGGAGTGGCAACCACCGTCGACGTTACTATTTTGTGCGCGTTTTTCGTTACCCTTTAAACGCCCATTTTGCCAAGTCCTCACAGCAAATAAGCTTCATAAGACCTTAGCAAAAGTCCCGGATTTATTTCAAGGGCCTGCCAATGCAACTTTTGTCCTATATTCTGGGCAAACAACAACTGCCCCCAAGACTGTACCCCAATAAAAACACCAATACAGACAAGCACATGTCTATGTGTGTATCAGACTATCTGGCAACGCGGCTACACGGGATGTTCCCAGATCGTTAAAAGCACTTTTCGTTTCGTCAGCAGAGTGCAAAAACTTGCAATAAATCAAAATTTCGACCGATCGCCAAAAATATGCAAATCGAAATGCCATTAGGGTACCTAAATCCGCTTGGCAGACGCAGCCCAAGGGGTTAAACAAGTATAGGGGGGCCTTAAAATCAAGGGGAACAATTTGCGCGCCAGCGGACGGCCAACTGCCATGCCAAGTACACGCTGTACCAGAGGTTGAAAATTCAATTTGAAATATAAATTGACCAGGTCCTCACCTAAATTGCCGCCACTGGTGTCCATGCTTAGTCCTTGCTGCGTCTGTTGTGGTTTCGGGAGAGCTAGCAATTAATCTTTGTCTCTGTTTTGATAGCAGTGCGCGGTCACTGCCTGCAAAACAAAAAGAAAATCTGCACTCGGAAATGTGAATGCGTTCAACTCAAAGGGCGTCGCGGGCGAACGAATTGGTCGAGAGGCTGTTAGTCACTGCGGTGGGATGCGCGGCGCGATATCACTGCTATTTGCACTTTCATTTGGCGGCCTTATCAGCGCGTATTTACAATTGAATGCAACAGCAAATTCAAAATTCAATTTAAATTGCCGTCGAGTGGACTTCCATTACATTTATGAATCACAGTGGGACCGTAGCACGACCGTTAAAATATACCTGGGTACACGGACGAATATACTGAAATATGGCCTGGAAATACTAAAAAATACCTTAAATATACCAAAAAATAATTAACAGATTGGATTTGAATAACGTCTTAGCAAATACTTACACCCAAATTTTGAGTTTTCAACTTATCATATTCAATTTTTGTAAATTTAAAACAAAAAACAGGTAATTTTAAAGGCATTTTGTATTTGCATATATAACATTTTTGTATTTACCGAGACCGAAATATTTAAATTTTAGGAACTTATAAATATCTAGAAAAAAAATCATTTCATAATAAATAGTTTATAAACATTGAGAACTTACGTATTTGAAAAGTACTTCCATTTCCACTTATTCTTATTTATTATTACATACTAATAAATTTTACTAAAATTCTAAAACTTTTTTTTTAATTAAGTAATTTGACATACTCTGCTGATATACATTTAAAATCTATCTTAATAAAATGTAAACACATAAAATTCGTTTTTCATTTATTTATCAGCTTATGCTACACATATCAAGACAATTTAAGATAATTTATTTGAATTACGATATGATTCAATTTCCTCAAAACAAAAACGCCAAATGGTACATTTTAACATCTTAAACAATTAACACTTAATGGCATTACGCAATAAAATATTTAACTATAAAATAAACATATAAACAATTCTACATGAACTCGGAGGAGGGACGCAGAGCCACCCGCCGGTTGCGCAGGGTGTACGTCCGAGGGGTTGTGCCGCTGGTCTGACTCGTTCCGGGGTCCTGCTCCATCGATCGGCGCTCCGAGGACGCCTCCAGCGACATGTCCTCCTCGCAGTCCTCCAGCTTATCGGCGCCCACTGCCTCGTCGGTGCTGATGTTGCCCTCCTCGAAGGTGAATTGGAAGCGACGTACGCTCTTCTTGGCGCTGAAAAGGACGCCACGGTTCTGCCGTTTGGCGGTGCCCGGAGTTTTAAGGATGGAGGTGCGCGGTCTCTGTGGCGGCGTCTTGGCCGCATTCTTCTCCGCGGCCGCCAGAATGGCCGTTTTCAGGAGCGTATTGCCGCCAATGGACGGACGTGCCTCGCCAGTCGACACTCGGAGAACGGTGCGGGCGGGCGAGAAGGACTTGCGGTCGCGCACCACAATCACACGTGGCGAACTGGGCCGGGGTGACGTGGAGGGCACACCATCGTCCATTGCAGGCTCCTCCACCTTGGACTTCTTCATGTTGGCATGGGCTTTGCGAAGGAACTGCTGCAGATTGCTGCTGGGCTTGGCCTTTGCCTTAATCTTCATGTTGCGACTTAACATCTTGGGCTTTGGCTTCGGCTGGACGGCTTCTTCAGCGACGGCCACTGCATCCGGATCGAGCCAATCGTTGGCCTTCCAACGTTTCAGGTTCTCGAAGCGCTTGTCCACGTTCTCGCTCTGCAGCCGCAACATGTCCCACCAGCCCTCCAGATCCTCTGCCTGCACTGGTTTCGTGTCCTCGCTGCCATCGTTCGATCGGCGGTTCTTGCCGGTGGCACCCTGCTCGCAGCGATCGATAAGGCCGCTGAACTGTATCATCTTCTTGGTGGTCAGCAGGCGCGTCTGACCGATGGTCACGTTGATCATATCAATGCCGCCCGTTTCCTGCAACCGTGCCTCGTTCTCCTTGCTGTACGCCTCCCACTCGACGCAAAGGGCTTGCAGGCGCTCGATTTCGTTTTTCAGCTGCAGCCGGAAATACAGCACGGACTCGATGGCCCGGCGAACTTCCAACGGCGACTCCTCGTCGGGCAGGTAAAAGCTATTCCGCTTCTCCTTCTCGCATCGCGAGTTCACCTTTCCGCGCGACACACTCACGAACGGACTGAGATAGTTGGGCTTTCCGTCGGATTCGCGGCGTGGCGGAGTCTTCACCTCTGACGGCACCAAGGTGGCATCTTCTGCATATGGTCCCTTAACTAAATGGGAAGGTGAGATTGGGCTTAGAGAAAGATCACTGCTGTACTCACCGGTCGTCTGCTCTGGATGCAGGATCAGCGAGTCCTCCGCCGGCGAATTGGCCACAGAGAAACGCGTAAAGTCGAATTTTCTCTTTGCCACCGGTACTGGAACTTTCTCGGTCTTGTCCGCTGGCAGCAAAATCCTTTTGACAGTGCTTTCTTCTTCGCCTTTGGCCGGTGCCACAGGACTCATGCTGTCGTCAAAAGCCTCCAGAAGAGTGCCGCTGCCACTGCTGGACTTGCACAGCGTGGATGTGGCCTGTGCGTGAAAGGGATTCTCATCCTGGGCTTCGTCCAGCGGTGTGACAGGCGGTATCTCTAGTGTGGCTGCCTGCAGCAAGTCGGCCTTGACTTGGGGATTCTTCCGCGTGATCTCCTGGAGCTTTGTAAACTGACCCTTCGGCTTGTTGGCCTTCATGCGCATGGTGTGACTGACAGGAACTTTGTTGGCCATTTCAGAGGAAGTCTTGAACTTTGCCGCTGCTCCACCACCGCCACGAATGGGCTTGGGCTTCACCACGTTTGCCTGTCGACCCATTGGCGGTCTTGGAGCAGTAGTCACCCTTGGCATTTGGCTGCTAACAGTGGGCTGTTGCCGCACCGTGGCTGCTTTCACTTTGGTCAGTGGAGCTGGCGTGCATCTGGGTATGGTGGTAACCTTTTTGAGCTCATTTGCAGGGACAGTATTGAGTCTGGTAGATTGCGTCCTGCCATTACTGGAGGCAATGTGTAGGGGTCGCACAGATGCCTTCTGCCTGGCCAAAGCCACTGGATTGGTGGTCAGAGGAGTTGCTGGCACGGGTTTCGTTGCTGGCGTTGCTGCTTTCTGCCGGGCCAAAGCCACTGGATTACTGTTTGTTGCAGGATTTGCTGCCAGGGGCTTGGTAGTTTGAGGAGCTACAGCCGCAGGCTTTTGAAGGATAGACGCTGCCGCTTTATCTCCACGAAGAGTTGCTCGCCTCGACTTGTTTACCGGAGGAGCCGCAGCCGCTGGCTTCGTTGCTTCGCATACTTTGCTCTTGTCCTTGCAAGGATTGACAATCACGTAGAGCGAGTGGCGATTGGGCGGCTGAAAAACGGGAGCATCTTCCTGCTTGATGGGAGCCATGTTTTCGGGAACTCTAAATGATTTTGATTTGGGAAAAGCCTTTGATTGATTGACGAGCGGAGCATTTTTGTCTGCCCCGCGACGCTTCTGTTCCCGCTGTTTGTGCTCCTTGCTCCTGGAGGTCTTCCACTCCATGAAGCGCTTTAAAAAGAGCGCTTTGCGGTCTGCTTTTGGAATTGATTGCTCCACGGGCATCTTTACTTGGTTTTGCGACTGCTGTTCCTCCTCCTGGCCATGTTGAAAGGGGGCTACGTTCTCCTGGGGAAGAACCTCTAGGGACGCCAGCGGTGGCTTCGTTTTGACTGGCGTGGGACTCACACTAATGATGCGGTTCTGATGAAAGCGATCCTCCCGGTTTTTGGCGCGCGCCGCCTGCAGGCGATCTCTGTTCTCCTGGCAGTGATTACGCGGACTCAGCACCAGCGAATGCTCCTTGTACAGTTCCTTGTGGCGCAGCATGACGACGCAGTGACAAATGGGGCGAGGCAAATTGAAGTGTCCTGTTGGAATTGAATAGCACTGATGAGTTTTCTGGCGAAGCGTCCCCTATTTTGTATTTTAAGATGGCGAAGCGTCCCGCAGTGTGACCAGGATAAGCACTACCAAAAATACTATACGTTTGTTTGGACTGCTGTTAATACTGACTAATGGTATTCTACATGTTTCTGGTAAAATTAAGCGACCCAGCCACGGTCACGCTGCTATGAAAATAAAAGTGAATTACAAATTAAGCAGCAGATATAAGTAACTAAACCGCTCCCCGCGCTTAATTATTGTCGCCTAAGCTTGTAACCATTTTCGCCTTTAATCAAGATAACATAGCGGCCGGCTAGCAAACGCATAAACCCAAAATAATTCGCCGAAACTTGTTCACATAAATACAAGGGCCGCGTGTGCGAGTGTGTGTGTTTATTGGGGTTACAAAAAATAAAACAAACAACAACGTCACCGCGGCAGCATTGCCAACAGCAAGCACCCACGCCCTATATTGTTGTAGTATATTTATCGCAAAATGCTCGCATTGTTTGGCTTTGAAAACATAGAAAAAAGTACAACAACAAGTTAACGCCAGCATTTAATTGCTTTTGCGGTACCTGCTTTTCTCCGAATTTCAAAATTGTACGCTGCTGGCAACGCTGCCACGCTCACACACACCCACACAACGAGGGGAGAGCGAACGAGCGAGAGAGCGGCTGTCATTCTCTGTTGCTCCGCTGCCTGGGAATGTCGTCGTCGTCGTCGTTGTCGTCGGTGTATTTTTAATCGCTTTTCTCGCCTTCGCTTAGCCCAAAAATATTATTATTAACCAGAAAAGCGCCCTGCCGCATATCCATGATTTATTGTTTATATAATGCGCGCTAACTAATCACGGATTCGTTTCCATTTCCACAGCACTAGTGAGCAGTGAGTGAGAAAGAGAGAGCGAGAGCGGTGAGAATTCCAACCTGCCTGTGTGTGCTGTGCAGTGCGAGTGTGTGTGTGTGTTTGTGTGTGTGTGGTGCATCAAGGCTGATAATACTAAATCTAAAACTTAAACTTAAATTAAAATAAACTCCAAAAGCGTTTACAATTACGCACATAACAGCGGCAGCAATCAACAACACAAAATGGAAGCGATTGCCAAACACGATTTCTCCGCGACGGCCGACGACGAGCTGAGTTTTCGCAAAACTCAGATCCTAAAGGTGAGTCCACCCGTCATAATATCTGGATTTATTCATAGACTTTTCGTGGAGAGGGCGCTAGCGGGGGGCGGGGCAGGACCTGCATGCATAATCTGCAGCGATGCAGTTGCTCCAGGTCGTTGCCTTAACCCACATCCCAGGCCCCAGACGGATTTGGTTACTAAATCCCGACAAACAGGAGTGGTGGCAGATAC